GTTTTACCCCAACTCTCAGAGACTTTTCTTGTATGGTCTTGGGAGGATTGTTTTGTTTTGTTTTGTTTTAAGCCGTGTTTGGGAGTCGTGGTTGGAGTAGCCGAGGATTACTTCAGCGATTCAAGTTCCCAAGACTAGAGCATGTATCATCCAGTGTTGGCTTGGGGAAACAAGTTTGAGCTTCCACATGATCTGTTTTGGCAAAGCACACCTGCATGCACTCATCGTAGATGTGGTTCTAATGTTTAATTTAACATGGTGACAGAAAGGAAACATTCAATGGATGCTCTAATGCAACGGTTCTCAACCTGTGGGTCTCGACCCCTTTGAGGGTCCAACGACTCTTTCACAGGGGTCATCCAATTCATAACAGTAGCAAAATAACAGTGATGAAGTAGCAACGCAAATAATTGTATGGCTGGGGGTCACCACAGCATGGGGAACTGTATGAAAGGGTCGCGGCATGAGGAAGGTTGAGAACCGCTGTTCTCATGAAAGCTGGCACGGGAGGCAGTGTGCGGGGCTTCCTTCCATTGCGCGTGGGGTCGCTATGGGTTGGAGCCGACTCCATGGCCTCTAACACCCACAATAATGAAGCTCTGCTGTCACACCCACCAGATGCCTTGTATTCCTGGGGAAGTGTGTTGGAACTGGGGGGTGGGGGCAGGTCATCGTGTAAACAAATCCCTCTAAAGGTAGTTAAAGGAGCTCTTTGGACCAGTGCAAGCTTTCCCTAACTTGCCTGGTCAGAAGGATCACCAAGGCTCTTGGGAAGCACACAGAACTCCAGGGGCCATGCACGGGTGATTTCTGTGATCAAGTCAGTTCTACACATTACCTAAGAAAATGGCAAATGGGCTTTGGAGGTTTGTGCCTGTGTGTAGAATTAGTTCATTGCATCTGTTTTCATTTACAAAAACCTTTATATCAGATAGTTTTCAACTTCTAGGTTTATGCTCAATGTGTGTGCGAGGGCAGGGGGGAGGTGTACTTTGTATGGCAACACAATGTAAGGACTGGGGCTCCTCTTGCTTACACTTGTACGGGAAAAGTGACAGTAGATGTGCCCATCTCGTCAGCACACAGCCATTTGAAAATGACTGAAAACGTTTATTTTCAGCATCTATTGACCCAAATCTCGGATTAGTCTTTTAGATATCCCTGTATCCTAGAAATATAGGAATGGGAGAGATATTCTTGAAATCATCCTAGACCCAAACCCAAACCTTTTGGCATTTATCTCTAGTGCAAAGACTTAAAACCCACAGATTCTGACCCCCCAGTGAGCCTACAGGACAGGGCACAACTGCTCCTTTGGGTTTCCAAGACTTAAAATCTTTATGGGTGCAGACAGCCTCATCCTTCTCCCTTGGGGCGGTGGGTGAGTTTGAACTGCTGACCTTGTGACTGCTGACCTCGGTGCAGGGTACACTATGCCACCATGGCTACCGAGCACAAAAGTGGACAAAAAATTAATAGGTGGATTTGTGAAGGGTGGCTTAGGAGCTGCAGGATTGTTCCAGGTCTGACTCCCGAGCGTTAATGTCTTTACTTTCTCTCCTCGCATTTTCCAGTTTCCACCTTACTCTGCAAGGTGACTGCTATTTCCTCCCTTTGCATATGAAAAGTCAGAAGCTCCAGAAGGTTCACAACTTGTCCCAAAAGGCACATCTCAAAGCTGGTGCCAAAGCCCATTCTCCCACTTGCCCATCTGTCCACCAGCCTGCACTCAGAATGACCCAATGGCTTGGACAACAGCCATGGAGCCACCTGTGTCTTACTGTGTTTTATTGTGAATGGCAGCCTGGATCAATTTCATGTTTAGCTCATTCCCATTCCAAGTTTTCCTTTTGGACAAAACACAGTAGCATTTGGTGCCTCTCTTCCTTCTGTCTGTCCGGAGCATAAAATGCGTCATTTAAAGGAATTATGAAGATCTTGAGCCACTTGAAATTTATTAGACCAATTGATAAGCATGTGTCTTTTGGGGAAAATTCTCCATTGTCCAAAGTTTTGTTTATAAAACCTTACTTTGCACCTTTTCTTTTCACTCTCTGTAAAATAATAAATCCGAAAGTTGACAGAATGTTTCAGTCATTGCAAATGGAAATGCTCAGAATTCTATTACAAGAAGTTTCCCAGAGAACCAGCCCTTTAGTCATTTCTTGGATAATATTTGCATATGCTTGTGGTGGGTGATGTGTTTATTTAAAATAAGTCATCCAAATTTAAAAAGAAAAAA